GAGTCTAAGCCTAAAAGATTATTGAATCAATAATAGAGGAAAGCATTAGAATGCTTGATTTCCAAAAATTTAAGTGGGCTAAGTTGCAGATTAAGGTAACTATCCGCAATATTTTAATCTTCTTGTAGGAATGAATCATATCAAAAAAAATTATAAGTTTAATAAAATTTAAAAATAGAGGTGTAATTTAAATTAATATTTATCACATAATAGTTAAAATATAAATATCAAATAAAATTAAAAGTATTAAAATCGTTAAATTTTTTTAGTTTAACATCTTAATTGACAGTACTTTATACATATTATCTTAACCTATTTTTTTATCCCTCAAACTTTGAATGTTGATTACTTTCTTTTTTAACATAATCCTCTCTATTACTAGCTATAATATCACCTTGTTTTTCAACTTTTTGTGACCAAACTACCATTATCAAAATAAAAACGAACAAAATATAATTTTTTCATTAAATTAATTAAATGATTTTTTTTATTTTAATATACCTTGATTTATAATCTGAGTATCACACAATGAGAGGATATTACTATTTGATGGGAAAATGAAATTTATACAGAATTGAAGATAATAAGTTAATTGAAGAAATTCGTTTAATAATTTTTTGTTGCATTATTAAATTTGAGATTATAATTAAGCTATTTAAGGTAGAAACAATATTTTGGTTTATAATATTAATTAAAATAGAATAACATATCTAAAGAGATTATATGTTCATTAAAATATTAAGCTTGGGGTAAGCTGCATGATTCATATTTAATGTTAAATAGAGAGTTTTTTAAAAATGATATATTTCTGTGAAATTAATTTTAATTAAAAATAATTTTAGGTTTAATTAAAAAAAGTTCTCAATATTTAAAGACAAATAATGTTTATATATTTTTTAATCATTTAAAATACCTTTTTTATGAATTCGTGTGATTTTAATGATTTTGTAAATCTTATATAATAGGTTAAATTTAAAAATAATGAAAACTTCATTTAGGTCTTTAAATCTTAGGCTCTATGATTGATTCTTCTATTCTAGATCTAAACAATGGATCTAATGGACTTAAGTTTCCTTGACGTTATTAGGACACTTAAATCTATTCAAAAAATTAAACTATATTTCTATCAATCATAGATAATAGTTTATCATCAACACTACTTCTTCTTTTATCTTATTATAATGAAGAGAAAGTACAATAATAATCTTTAAGATTCTTAGATTACAATTTTTTATTATTATTAATAGATCTAAAACTTTTTTAAAACCCAACTTCAGATATTAAATCATTACCCCTATCTTCCATTTATAATTTTTCATCTTATAAGATAGGTTTAGGTAGAAGATCAAACAATTTATACTATTCATCATTTAATAAAATGAATTTCAGTAGATCAACTTCATGTAGCTTTTAAATGATTTTCACCACATCCATTTATTAAAGTATCTCTTACTTAACTTAAGCAAATATTTTTTTTTTCTGTTTATGACAACCAAATAGAATAAGAAGAGATTCATAAATACTTGTTGACAATTTTTCTTCAGTATTAATTTCTCTAGTTCTTCTATTTTATTCTTAGACATCTATAATTTAATCACTTTATTATAAATTAATTATCTCTATATTTTATGGTCTTTAATTTTCAGAATTAGGAAATCTATATAATTCATTTGCTATTGAAATGGTCATCAGATTATTGATTAATGGATTTATAATTAAGGCAGCCATTACCATAAATAATTACCAAATTCCTCCAATTTTACTTAATATTGTTTATATCTTAATGTAGGATCTCTAATAGATAGTTTCTTTGTAATCTAATTAGATATAATGGTAAACAAGATAATCATCATTATATAATTCGGTATATTCTCTTCTGTCTTATTTTTTTAAATTTAAATCTACTTAGTCTGTGCTAAATAGTAATCCATTATCTGTATGAGTTTCTGATATTCTATAAGTCCATTATAACATTTTAGATGTTGAGATGGAGAAACTATTTATGTCTAAATTAATAAGTTGGGAGTATGGTGTATCAGGATGATTTAATTGCATCAAATAATCACTTGCATAAACAGAATAATGGCCAGCAGATAAAACTTTCTTGATTTCATCTATTGGTGCACAACCTTAATATTCTGTAGTATTTTTGCAAATACTCAATTCAATTACTAAGTACTAATACTTATACCCTGAGATTTAACCTTACAAAACCTTAAATTAACATAAAAATTTTACAGGAGGGTTATTCCTAAGTCTAGTTCGATTGATACATTAGACAACACCTAATCTAGTATTTTTGAAAAATTCTTTCTATAACTCATTATCAAAATCTTCGGCAACACAAGGGGCAATAGGCAATGGGGAACAACTAAATAACTTTTATATTTACTTTAGTGAAACCTAAACCTTACCGGTTGTTTCATTTAATAGTCTTTCTCTCACACAATGACTCATCGATAAGTTGTAATATTTCATTTACCCTTTAATGGGCTCTGAATTTTTAGTCGCAATTGTAACAGCAAGAGTGAAGTTATCATTATAAAGTGGGAAAGACTTAAATAGGATTGATTATTACTGTTGAGTCAAATATCTGAAGCTCAGATGTAACAACTTTAGGTTCAGCTTTATGTAAAAGAGCTGTTATTTCAGTCACTAAGTAAATTAACGTAGCTGTTCCTATTAGGAAGGTCATACAACATCCAACCACAGAAGTGTACTTACTTTTATCAAGGACTCTGAAGGTCGGTAATTATCCAAAAATATCGAAAGTATCGATAGTTGAATTGGCAATTCTATAGAAAACATTCTTAGATCGATCAAACATTAGAAAATAATAAATCTTAATAAATAATAAATAGATTGAACATCTCTATTAAAATAGTAAAAATGACTTTATTTATATTTATTATAATGTTTTTACATTAATGATGTAAATAGAATAAGTCTTATTTTAAATGTGAATTCATTATTTATTTTTCACTTATTGGTATAGTATGATAGAAGAAATTGAAAGTTTATACAGAAATAGAGCCATTTTAGAGAAGAGGATGGCTTAACAATCTCCAAAGTAAGTTTTAGTGGATGCTCTCTGTGATGATTTAGATGCATTTTTGGAATATGAAAGTCAAATCACAGGCTCATACATAAGAAGTTAATGTAAGGTGATAGGCAGAAAATAATATTTATTTATGATTCCAGAGGGCATAACATTATTGCAATTGATCAATTAGAATGGTAGATTATCAAGGAATCAAATCGAAGAGATTTACAAATAATTGTTATAGGCATTACATTAAATTCATATCAAATATAGTCTAGGAAGATGTTTTCATGTTGGTAATATTTATTATCATAATAATTCAATATAAATGGCTGCGTTTGGGTTTTATCCTAATTTATAGTTGATACCTCCTGAATTCTTAGAAAGGGGAGAATAAAGTCAAAATAGAATATATAGTTAGAGTATTGATGTTTGGTTGGTTGGTTGTATTATATATTAGTTGTTTACTGGTTAAGTTTTGAATAGTTTTAAGACATTAAAAGAATATCGGACATTTTATAATTAAATTTAATCATAACTTATAGAAGAGGATTGGAAGAATCGTCTATTGAAAATGCTTCATCCAACAGAAGCTTAGAGATGTACATTCTTCTAGATGCACATTCATCATGAAATTTCTAATAGTTATTAAGAGGATATTAAAGAATTTTATAAAAATATTTTTTTAACTTAGAATTACTCTTCTTTAATAAAAATGAGAGAATTAATTGATGATAATTATATAGAATGGGCAGTGGTATCTAAATTCTTATTTAAATATTATAGCCTAAAGAATTTACTAAATAAATGGAGTTACCAAAAGTACTGAATCCTTTTCGTTATAGAATTCAACGTCCTAATCCTAATCCAAAAATATAAGAAAACATTGCTCCTTATCCAAGAATAGCTAATACAACAGATTATTATTCATAACCCATATAACCTTCTCCACCAATTGAGGATCTACCATTAGATGATCCACCAATTTAGGATCTTTCAATTGAAAATCGACAAATTGAGAATCCACCAATTGATCCAATAGATTAAAGTCCTTAGCCATTAATGTAATATCTTGATTTAGGTTTTTTACCTTATAGATGTAGAGATTACAATGTAAATAATAAGATATATTAAATAGGATTTTATTAAATTTAAAGATTTTTGGATTGAATTACATTTTGAATCCTATAAATGGTATTTGATGAATTCTTTAAAGCAACATATTGAATAATAAGAAATTAAAAGTCCTGTTGAAACATTGGCAGTATATTGTTTACTAAAAATGGCCGTACTTATGAGATAAGAGTTTGTCAGTTAGTGGAATAATGAATTTTTGAATTTTGATGATGAGCTATGGAAAAATTTCAAAAATAGTATTTTATGGGAAAATTTCAAAACTAGTATTTAAGCAAAAAAGTTTTTTAAAGATCTTTAAAATTAACTTAATGCAGATTTATCTATTATAAATGATAATTATTAACTTTGTGACTTTACAAATCCTAGTAATGAAGATAAATAATTATTTAATTCAATAAAAACAATTATTAATATGCCTGAATAAAAATAAAATTCCGATAATTTTAAAATACCATATAGAAAAACTTTGAGAAGACTTTATCATTCCATTAAAAATAGTTGTTAATAAGATTGTGATAACAAATTATAACTTACTTTATTACAATTAAAATTCATTATTTGTATGGGAATTTCATCAATATTTTCACCAAAAAAGAGGGAAGTTATTTTCATTTAAGTAAAAAGAGCTCAAAATATATCTAATTTTGATAATCCCTATTATTTAGAATAAGAATTTTTTAGATAGCAAGATGCAAATATTTTGAATAATCAAATTAAGATAATTGAAGAAGAATTTTTTTAATCTTCAAGTTGAATTAAAAAAAATGAATTAATTAAAAGTAATAGAAAGCCAATATTTTATAAATATATATATTTCAAATCAAAAGTCAAAATCATCTAATAAGTCTCCTTTTTCAGCCTTTTAAGCCAATTCTTTTTACTAATTTATAATTATTTATAATAATACCTTATCTATTTTTTATTGATTTCCTAATACTCTTTTATTTCCACCACCTCCAAATCCAGGTTCATAAATTTCATTATCATTTTTAGGAACTTCAAATTTTCTTTTTTGTTGATTTGGTCTATACTCTTCTTAATGTTTTGGAGCTCCTAATATTTCATCTAAAGTTAATTCTCTATCTTCTTTATGTTGAACTTCTGGTACTTATTTTATATCTTTAATTTCTTAAATCTCTTCAATATTCTCTTTCTAAACAGGTTAATCTTCCCAAATATTTAATTTGTTATTGCCTCTATTTCTTCTTCCTTATTATTTATTTGGTTCTTGCTTTGTTTAAAATTCATTAGTTGGTTCTTCAGTTTTTGGAGCTTCAGGTTATTTTTCATCAGTAAATATTTTAATTCTTCTTTATTTATTTCCATCATCAGATGGTTAATAAGATTATTATTAAGATGTTAAGGATTATTATTATGATGAAATAGATTATTATTATTAATTGTTATTCTATTATTCTTATTATTCATCCTAACCTAGTCTCATTCTTCTTCTAGTAGGATATTCAGATTATTGAGTTTAATCCTATTTCTAATTAATTTAGATTTGCGGCTATTCTATAGTTTATTATTATTCATTTGTATTATGATCTAATCCTCTAGGTCTATTGGTTGTTCTTCTAGTTGGAAAAGTAGGTTGATAATCTTCAATTGGTTTAGGCTATTCAAATTAAGTAGGTTATTCAATAGGTTTATTGTTGTTTTATTCATTAATATCTTTATGTTGATCTCTAGGTTATTCAACTGGTTTAGATGGATTAATTATGAATTAATTATTATCTTCTTATTAATTTTATTATGGTTTTCTCATCATTCTTATTATTCTAGAAGGACCTGTATATTCTATTTAAACATCATTAGTATTATTTTATTGATTACTATCATTATTGAGACCTTAATCAGCAGTAGGTTATTAATCAACAGATTTTCTTATATTATTAAAAGGTTTTGAATTTAATTTATTTTGTTGATTAGGAGATTAGAATTATTATTATATAATTTAAATATCTTATTTTATTGGAGTAGATTATGATATTTGAATTTATTTTTTTTCTTCTTACTTTATTGGTTATTTTTATTATTCAGTTTCATCTTCACATATAATTTCCTCTTCTACTTCATTTTTTGATGTTAATTATTATGGTTTTTCATCTTACTTAACTGGTAATTTTAATTCTTTATGACTACTTTAATCTTACTATTATTTAGATATAGGGGGTTTTGCACTTTATAATTTTCGTTAATTTTCTTATGTTTTCTTTTCTTATTATAATGCTTCAGAAATATTTTCTTAAGTCATTGTTGCAGGAATTGATCTAAAAACATCAGATGGTACTTTAATTTTTAATTCTTCTTTTTATCTTCTTTAATCAATTAAAATCATTTCATTTGCATTAATTTATTAATCAAATCGCTCTTTTTCTTTTTTCAATTCCTTAATTTCTTTTTCTATCATTTCTAATTATTTATCCTTCTTTTCCATTATAAGATTATGTTTTAATAAATTATCCTTCTAAGTCAAAAGTGCAATATATTATTCTTTTTATTTACTGAATGGTTTATCACCACTTATATCAATTTTATACTTTTCAGCTTCTTCCTCTAAAAGTTTTAATTCCTTATTAATTTTTGGAAGTTCAACCTCTTATGTATTTTTAATGTTCTCCTTTTATTTATTCAATTATTCTTATTATTCCTTAATTTTCCTTCTTAAATTAACCATCTCTTAATTTACACTGTTCCTCTCTTTATTCAATTTGTCAAAACCATCTTAATTTTCATACTTATCAAGATCCTTGCCTCGTTGTTTCTGTTACAAAAACTCTTACTTTTTTCTTTATTCTAATTTCTTCATTTCATCTTCAAATTTCTTAATCTCTTCATCTAATTTCATTATGTAATTGATTTATTATATCTATTATATTCTATTATTTAATTTATTAATCTCTTCTTCTTATTACTCTATTTTTTTTTGGTTTATTTCAATCTCCTTATCAATAACAGTTCCACCTGAAACTTGAGATTAAGCTGTCTTTTACCTCTTCATTTATGGTTATGGTTATGGAGGTAGACGTTAAGCATTCTGTTCAACTAATTTGGAAACTTCATCAGAGATTTCTTTAAGTTTTTATCTAAGCTATTTATTTTCATCATGCAACTGTTTTGGTTTCCAATTTGAGTAATCTTACTAAGCCATAAGTTCAGCATATTTCTCTTAATAGGTAGGTTTCTATTTAATAGGTTGAGTTGGCAAAGGAGGTCTCTTCTTTTATTTTGGAGGTTCCATAATAGAAGTTGGTTAATTGGATTGATTATTCTTATTATCTTTAACTTCTTTGTTTTATTAGTTTTTATTTGAAATATCAACCACTTATTCTTTATCAGATTCATCATCATTCTGCTAATATTCATTTTATTCATAATCTTCATTATATTATTCTTCTTCATTTTCCTCCTCGTTATATTAATCATCATTATCTTCAGGGACTTCTTCATTTACTTCTTATTCTACATCTTCTTCATTGTTATTATCTTCAACTAAACCCTCACTTTAATCTTCATATTCATAGACTTCACCTTCCTCCTCCTCCTCAGGTGGATGAGGTGTATGAGTTCTCTAATTTGAATTTGGATTTTTGTCCTATTCTTTTTTTAGTTATTAATTGTTGGGTATTTCTTGATCATCTCCTCCCATTAGATCTTCCTCATAATTGAATTCTTCATTATTAAGGTCATCATTTTCTATTTCTCCAAATTCATCTTAATCCATTAAAATAATTAAAATGAAAATCTGCTAATTCTCAAAGCTTTTGCATAAACAATAAATTTTAGCTATTCACAAACTAACATTCAAAATAATAGAATACTAAATCCATAAAGATAAATTTCATAAAATTTCAAGATAACAAAAAGCAAAACAAATATTATATCTATAGATCTAATATGCCATCAGCCTTATATAACAATAACTATAGAGTTGTTGTATTTGATTCTCCTTAAGTAAACAATAGTTGATATTCATTTATCAGAATGTTTATAGAGTATTAATTTACATAAGGTATTGGATATACAAGTATGAGATTGAATAAGAAATAATTATTAACTTAAAAATTGTTAAATAAGAGGATATTATTGACATTCATAATTAGAGAAAGAACTCATAAGGAAATGGCTGCAATATTAAACAATTATTATTAATGGAATTGATATAAAATTTTATTGATTATTTAAGAAACTTCAATTATCATAAATTATTACCCTTAAAATGGATTTAAATAGTCAAATTTAATCTAGAATTAACTTTTTGAGATAGCTTTAAAATTAATGAGTTATTCTCTTAAGAAACCATTAAAAGAATATTTAAATGTAAAGATATTTATAATAAAGAAATAATAATTTCAGATTATCATATAGATTAGAAATTAAAAAATATATACAAGTAAATCAAATTCAGTTATATTTATATGTGTATATATAATCAATAAATTAGATATAAATATCATCTGCCTTTTATTATTATTCTGGCTTATCTTATATTTATAGTATCCTAATCTAGATCAGATTATAAATCTATTGTCATTAATGTTAGATTATCATCAATTATAGGAACTTATAAATTTTTTGGTTGTTCACCTTCCAAAGTTGAAATGAGAATAAATGGAATAGATGTGGAGAATGAATTGCCAACTTCTATTAATTTATGTTTCTCTAAATTCCATTAACAATTTTTGCATTCTAATCCCCCAAGTAGATAAGACCCATCATTCAATTATAATTGTTAAACATTATTTATATCAGTACATTTTGATATATCTGTATAAATGTTGAGATTCCAAGGATTGAGACCATTCTTGCGACTAAATTGTAATTTAAAGTATTCCACTAATGCTTATGGAATAAAAAGATAACTCAAATCAAAATATCTTCTATTTTGTTAATCTTTTAATATCTTTAATTGATTAATATTTTAATTCACCATTTCTACTAAATTATAAATGATCAATTTAGATTTTGGTTTGAACCACAAATATTAATAGAGTTCTTCTGAACAATACATAACTTATTTATCTTAAATTCTGATGAGATATTGATTCAATACTTATAATAGTATATTATACTTTTATATCTGAATATTAATGTATTAATCAAGTGCATCAATATATTAAATGTTTTATTTATTTTTATTCATTATATTAAGTGCTGTTTTTCGATAATATTAGGAAAATGGTTTTGAATCATTTTTTTAAAATGAATACTTTCTTGATAATTTCTATTCTAATTTAATTAAACTAAGAGGTTCTACTAATTTAATCTATTTGATTTAAGGATTTTATACATTAATCTCAGTACTATTAGTTAATAATGAAAACTACTAAATTATCTATTAATTTTAATAATTATTAATTGTAAAATTATTATTTCCATATCCAATACTATAAGTATCATAAGTATCTGGAATACGATTAATTATCTCATCCAACCATACATCATTTCCAATAGGAAGTGTATGAAAATGTAAATATTTATAATTTTCAGTATTTATTTATTAATTGCAATGTTTATAAATAATACTTTCTATAGTCTATATATCTTAAGGAGGAACATTATATATCCCATCAGTTATAACTTTAAACATACTATTAATGTTCGTGTTAATGAAGTATGGTAAATTATATTTCAAGATTAAATTTAAATCTTATAATGTATAAGATTCAGTTCTAAAATTTAATAGAAGATTCCTTTAAATAATAAAAAAGTGCATGTAACATAGACTATAAGTAAGTTTTTTTATTTCACTTGTATTATTATTATCAACTTTAGGAATGTATTTTCTGATATTTTAACTTATTTATTAATTATATTGTAGAAATGACTTTTAACAATTTAACAATGTCTTATCAAGTAAAACATCTTCGTCTAAATTTTCAATAATCAAATGTGGGTATTTACTCTGAATAATTTATTCCTACAATTCTATAGGATAATGTGATAGATTAATAAATAAATATTATTGATTAAGTTCTTGTTAACCTTTATAAATAGGTATATTCATATCTTCAATCAATTTATTTAATTATGATTAAATATATATGATTTATTTTACACTAGTCTATTAATTATAATTAATTTTGATTAAATTTAAGTATTTTGTTGATCTGTCCTTTACATATTAATTGATAAATTTTCTAAGATCTTTTGGTTTAAAGGCTTTGATTAGAATAAGTTTCTCAAATATTGACAACTTCTCTTCATATTCATTTGGCATTGATAATGTATCATCCAACCATTTCTACCAATCTTTAGGATATCTTTAAATTTAATTATACAAATCATCGAATGATGATGACAAACTCATAATATATTTAATTTCATCCCATTATTCTTATTTGATGAATGAAACATTTAAGGATTTAGGATATTTACTTAAATCCTATTGTAATTATTAACCTATTATATATTAGTATTAATCATAAGAGATAATTCTATTACTTAGATCTATTTAAGTAAATAAAATGAATTTTATTAATAAATGATGTTCTATTTTAAATTAATTATCTATCAAATTCATAGTCTACAATGTAAAATAATTACTTATTATCCAATATCTTTCAGGAATATCACCTTTAATTGAATCCATAACATACATTAACTTGTCCAATAGTTACTACATTGTTATATAATAACGACGATCGAAAACATAAGATTATTATAGACTTTAATAAATTAATAAGAATCTCGCTATTAAAGGATGACAAACTTCAAAATTGAATTGTCCATTATGTTATTTCAATTGTTCCTATTAATCAATTAGAAATTGAATTTAATTAATAACATCTAAATTAATTATACTATTAAATTAAGAGGATATTAACAAACTCAATTGTTATTCATAGTGAGAATCCATTATTGGACGATCATTATCCAAAAGGTATCCCAAATTTATCAAAGATAGATTCTCTTCATCATATTATTATATTAATCTATCAAATATATCAGGATTATCCTTTTGAAGTATATTGAGTAATACATATGATTCAATTTCCTTATCTTACTTTTTATAATAAATAGTTCTCAATAAAGATTAAGCTCTAATCTCTTTTCTTATTTAATAAGAAATTAAATATATTTTAATCTCTTATTATTATTGATATTACTAATAAATAAATGATCTCCATTATTAAGATTTTAATATATCATCAATAATTACATCTTTTATGATGAAACATTATTAAGTTTATTAATTACTTTTGATTTCAGTAATATTATTATTATTGAATGTACTTACATAGGCTGTTGGATAATATTATTGAAGATATTCTTAAGACAAATTTTCAGGATCAATAATTAATATAATATTTTTTTGATTCTAAAATTTCAAATTTAATAGTAATTACATATTCTCATAATCTAATTTATATTATAAGTTTAAATTATCAATTAATTTCTATGTTATTTATTGATTATAACTTTAACAAATACTTTGTACAAAATTGATATCCATTAATTAGATTTATTATTATTATAAATTAAAAATATTCTATTACCATTAAACTTTATAAGGATTTAAATATTTCAGACATTTCTTTGTTGCCTCAAAAATCTTAGATATCTTTTCCAATTCATCTGTTAAAATACGTAATTTAGATTGATAAATATCAATTTATTATTCCTATTATTATATCATTGCTATTCTTAATTCTTATTTATTTTTCATCTCCTCAACTGCTACTTTATCATTATGAAGATTATTTTATAATTAAATCAATATTTACTAATATTTACAAATATTTATAGCAATCTAATAGATAGTTTAGATTTATTATGAAGATTTTGGATATTTCAATATAATTTATTCAATCTAATATTATTCCAATTATGGTAAATCAACTAAATGTACTAATTCCATTTATAATGGTTATAAAAATGGGAATTCTTAAATAATGTGAAATTGTTGCAATCTTTATTTACTATATTATTGGAATTATTAATTTAATTATAATTATTATTTATTAATTTTCTATTCACCTTTATTAATATTCTCATTCAATTTATTAATTTATTAATTAATATCTCCCAATTCTAATTTATCCTTAGATATCTCATTATTTAATATATTAATTTAATTACTAACATCCTAATGTTCTTAATTGTACTAATTGTACTATTCTGTTATTGTAATGAATTCAGTATTTGCCTCTTCTATTTTATTTAAAACCTTTTAATAAATTATAATTAATCTCTAATTTTCAGATTTCGATTATTAATATTATGTTTGGAATAATTATAGATGATCAATAAATTATTGAATATATCCTTTAGATTATTCAAAGACTTTGCAAAATAGTTGATTATCAATAGATCTATCATTAAGAATCTAAATAGCTACTTCTTATTGAAAAATCTTAGGCCAATCAAATAATTTGATTATCTAACATTTATACAATATTCTCCTATACTAATCTAATTATTTCATATCTTCAATCAATAAACAAATATGTAATAATGATATAGAATCATTTCTCAATATACATTAGTTGTAACAATATTAAGTAGGATAAGATATAAATTGATACACATTTTCATTTATATCAGTTACATAAATAATATGATTCTACTAATCCCAATTTTACAATAGATTATTTATTCCAATATCATTATATTTCTATTAATATTACATAATAAATTAAGCCAATCTAATAAAGGAATTCCTACCACTTCCAATTTTACCTTAAATTACAATATGTTAATCATATTACCATCCCCTCATTA